CAGGGACCGAAAGTAACCTCATGAAACCTGGCCAGGCTTCAAACTCCTTCTAAACGCCTACAAACACACACACATGCACACTCACACACAAACAAACAAACAAACACAATACTCGTGTCACTTACTTTACTTGCGTTATATAACTTTATACAAAATCGCACATGCCAAAAACACAGCACAATAGCCTCAAGCACAACACACACCTCAAGACCTGGAAAATCATCTCATGTGAAGGGAACTGCATTGTGAAAGCCTGATTCTTGATACAGTGTCTGGAAGAAAGAACTGGAAGAGTGAGAAAATGAGGGCTCAATGCAAACTAATCCACCTCTTCACCACCGCCACTCCCACGGTAAACCCTCACCCAGTGGTGGACTGGCAACACAAAGCAGCCTGGGAATTTGCAGTCAAGCAGCCCCCATTTGATACACCAAATTTGAATTGACACACTTTTGTCAACGAACAAGCCATTAATTAAAAAAAAAAAAAAACACAATCAGTTAATTTGTTTTGTTCGTGCTAGGCTCGTATGTGATATGATAAGACTGATTATCCAAGGTTTTACTTCTCATGTGTACAGAAAGCAAAAATTCCACGTTTAATTAACTAATATAATAACTGACACCTGACTTGACTTCATAGCCTACTTTTAGAATTATTTACAAGATTGAAAAGCAGTCAACAGTGTTCAAACACAGTTAAAACCACAACTCAATTAAAACCAGCTGATTCTATCCACAGGAGTGCACTGTATTTACACTGCATATTCAAACAAAGCACACTCTATTTACACTGGGTACATATTCTACAAATCGCTTTCATTGCTGGGCTGGCTATCAAATATTAGTATATGCCTTAGCAAGGGTAGCCAAGACAATGCCCATGAGTGCCTGGTTGCATGTTCTAAAAATAAATTGCGGTCAAGCCAGCCATCACTCGCATCTCTGTGGTCAAATCAGTTGATGTTACAACTGTATGCACCCACATACTGACACTCATGGTAAACGCATTCAGACAGCCCAAACTGAGTTACAGACGAACTTGGCGAAGTTAGCAGAAGAATACACTTGTGACTACATCTGGTTTTCAATATAAGGTGTTAACCAGTGGTATATAATGCCAGGGTTGGAGGAGATAAAGGGGTTACTGGCCCTCACAAGACCTGCCCACTGGAAGGGTGGGCGCTGGCCACTATGGTTCTGCATGTTAATGTGGCTAGCTTGCTGTCTGCGCAGTACAATAACCTGAAGAGTAGCAGAAATAACCTACAGGGCTCTAGCTTCGCAGACCGGGCGCAGCGGGGGCGCAGCGCACCTGTGCTTCACCAACTGGGTGTGGCCAGGTGAATTTTGTAAGTTTGGCACACCGTGTGCCCTGGCGCAGCTACTCCTCTATCCCACCTCCGTCCCTCCTACCTGCGCAAGTCAGAAAGAGGGAGGAGAGAAGGCGTGGAGTGGGTTTTACACACATCACACCAATCAAATGAGCCTCTCTCCTCGCCCTTAAATGCGCCACGCGAAGGCGTAATGAGAGTTTACTCAATTTGCCATGGCAGCAGCGTCAGACAGCCAAACTTCTCCCAGGAGGAAACTGATGTTTTGGTCCGGGAGGTCCAAGCTCGCAGTGTCCAAATATACGGAACTGCGAGCAGACCTCCACAGGCTGATGATGCAAAGGTAGCCTGGGAGGAGGTCACCACAATTGTAAATCAATGTTGCATTTCTCTCGTGCGCACGTGCGCCCTCTCTTTCTCTCTCGCAGTCTCACTCTGTTTCTTTTCTTTTGACTTTTCTAAGATGACAGATGTTGAATATATACTCCCTTTCTGATGCTGTGGCTGTTTGTGGTTGGCTGAGAGGGATGTGAACTCATTAGTTTGCAGGCTGTGTTAATCAAATCAGGTTGGGTTTCCATTACGCGTGCCAAACGGTGCCAAACGGTGCCAATCCCCTTTGATCTGACATCAGATGTGACGGGACAGTCAATATAGAGATACATTTATGTGCTGATTGCAGATAGTTGCATTGAATAGTGGTTTTGTGGCTATTTATTGCATTGTTAATGTGCCTGATATTCTGGAAACCTGCCTGTGAGGTTTTGGTGACGTGTGCTCACTGTCCGCCGGTCAGCCAAACTTCAGCTTACACCGACTGCGCTCTGCCTGCGCTGACAGTAGACCTGGTTTCAGCTGGCAAGCTTTTAGTGCACCTTCGGCGAAGCCTTTTGGCACAAAACTGTCACTGCGCCAAGCTGGATCTGTCGACACCTCCCCCTGCTGCGCCGCCACACCCATCTCAGCGCACCTCGGTCTGCCAAACTACCAAACTGAGCGCACCTCGGGTTGCGCTGCTCGAAACTAGCTCTGCGCGGGGTTCGCCACCCTGCGTCACCTGCGCTGCGCTGGGAAACTAGAGCCCATAGACTGACATACACAATCAGTCAAGAAAATTCTGGGTGGTTAACCATTTACATCCCTAGTGGGCATACAAAGTGACGAACTTTTACCCAAGAGTGCGGGTTTCGTATCCTGAGTCTCTTCTGTTGTTAAATTAAGGAAACAAAAGCACTTTGGTTAATGTTGATTTAATTATAATATCCAATATTTTGGCTCACGTTACTGAAGACTTTGTAAGAGCCAGTGCCTTAACAGAACAATTAAAAAGGTTAATAACGCTGTAGTCACTAGGATCAGATCATCTCAGCCTCTAAATTATTGTATTTCTCTCCTCAGAACTATCATTGTTATTCAGTCTCAACTCTAAATGTTTTAGGAATGTATCTGGATATGTCTAGACAATGACATTTGATCACAGGCCTTTGCATTTTCACCTGGCATTAATAAGTGCTGTCTTATCTCTTCTGCATGTGTTGTAGTCAGATCTTATTATGCATTACTTGGAGCTCGTGGACTAGTCAAAAAACACATGTGTCCCAGATTAAGGGAAACAATGCGGGGTTGATGCTTTCCTTGAAATTGTACAGGTTGTATTCACACCTGGCTGAGATCTGATCACAATGCATTCCAAACGATCTCCAGATGTGGCGTAGTCGATCAAATATCATTCTGATTGCAATGTGTTCTGCATGCATTTACACCTTGCATTAACATGCCTTTTCCCTAATCCAGACAAGATGTCCTGATCCACATTGCATGGTAATATGAGGTGTAAATGGGGTCAAAGACAAAGAAACCCAGGAGTAAAACACTGCAGATTGAGAAAGACAATCTCTGTCAGATGTTGTGGGGCCTTCCTCACCCGTTAAATCACCCCAGTTCTTCTCTCTCTCTCTCTGTCTCTCATACTCTCTCATTTCTGTTTTCTCTCTCACATGGCTGTAATTATGCTCGTGTAAACAAATGAGGCCAGAGAGAGACATCAGGAATTTCAGTTGGGCCTCTGGGAGTTGTGTAGTTTACACAATCACACAGAACAATACAGAGGATATATATGTTAGCAAATATTCATATTGGGTATGATAGATTCATACCGTATTCATACCGTCATACCGATTGCAAGAACGACTGCCACCCAGTCCACCCCCAGCCACTCAACTTTCACAAGCACTCAACTTTCACAAGCAATATTGTTGCATACCCCAGTACATTTGCGTCATCATCTACGCTACATTTGTTCACCTTGTCGCTACAGAGTAGAAAAGTATGCCAGTTGAAAGATCCCAAGCACATACAGTTGGAGTTGAACTCTTCATTATATCTACTATAGGTTATCTTCGGGGTACAATGTCAAAAATGACCCTCTCGATTGCCTTCCTACTTTATCACTGATGGCTGTGCAATTTAAAAGGCGAAATGTACGCAGCAGCACATGCTGCGCACACATGTAGATTTCGGAGGAAATCAGCTGCACTGAGAAATGCTACTTTGCAACTTCAACTCGCCGACTGTTACCCTTGTTAAATAGCAGTCCATCTCTGTGCTTTGGTACACTTAGTGTGAACCACACTTGAGTAAACATGAACTGTACTCGAGACCACCTTTTCAAGTGGTCCCGGGCATGGATCGATATATTGTGCGTGGTAGTAATGCCCAGGTTGACCCACAACCCAAGTCAGGTGGTTCAGGTAAGCTTGTTAGAAAATATGACAGGTCTCGGGTTGGCGGGTCATAAAGTGACAAAGCAGCATTCTGACTAAGTCACTGATAATTTACAGCAATAGTGCACATTAGTCCACCTTCCACCTTCTCTTCCCCTCTCTCTGTCTCTCACCCACATTAAGCAGTTTTATCATTAGTGCTACTGTGCTCAGGGTTGCCGTTATTCTGTTTCTGACCAGGAAAACCTGTTAAAGTAAAAATATTTCCCTCTGAGAATATGTAGGCCTAATAACCTAGAAGCAAGCAAGCTAGCAAGCTATCTACACCAAATCTTAAATTTACACTTCTGTTACATAATTTTGACAAACCACTGTACCTATCAGCTGTGCACTCAAGATCATACATAAGATGTAACTATTTTAAAAGATGGGTAAATACTTGCTGTCTTACTAAGTTTGTATTTAATAAACAGAAAACACATGTTTTATATTACAATATTGACTGAAAACAACATACAATAGTCAACAGCAAGTAGGTTGCTACTAGTGATGGTCGTGACCTGAAACTTTCAGCTCCAATTTGCAGTTTTGTGGGTCAGGTTTGGGTCATTTATTATTGCAGCAGGAGAGGCTTATTGGTTCTCATGATGGGTTGGTGCAGGTTTCAGAAAAACCTAACCCACGCATCACTAGTGCCGGGGTACTGTACACAGTGTTCGTCCTAGTCAAACAAACTGGATTTTGGGGCCAAGATTGCTCAGATCTGGGCCCGAGTTCCTGATGTAGAAGCCTCATTAAACTACTACTGCCGTACAGTCTTTCATTAGGTCTCATCTGATAGGCTATTATGGCTACTACCTCAGTGGAGCACCATCCAACAGCTGCATTCAACTCCACACGCACACTTTTCTCAATGAGACATCCAGATACACACAAACACTAACCTGCTTATGATATTCAATCCCCATGCTCAGAGTATTGATCAGAATGGCGATCATAATCCCTCGTCCAAAGTACTTGCTGTCCACAATCTTCCTGAATGTGTCGCACACCAGCCTCCAGAAGTGAACCACCTTTGCTGCCGTCTTGCCCAGACGACGGTGTTTCTTTTTGGGCTGCCGGCTGTCTCTCCTGTCCCTGTGATGGAGGTCCTGGGTGAACTCATATATGCCGTCGCTGTCGGAGTCTCCAGGGGTCTCGTTGCCCTCAGTGCCACCCTCTGATTCGTTGGCCAGCGCTCTTGCGCACAAGGGGCAACTTTCTGGGTCCGATGTCAGTGCGGCTGTGTCCATGGCACTGCTGGTGGTGCTAAGGTCACGAGCTGACAGCTGGCAGGAGAGCTGGGCTGCAGCCGAGTGAGAAAGGTCAGATGGAGAAACTGAGACGAAGAGAAGGAAACTGCAGTGAAATCAGAGTGATTGTGATAAATTACAAAAATGAAGAGGTTTAGACAAATTGTCAAATCCAATGAAAGAGATCTGTTGTGAACAACAACATTTTTGGACAGTTTGCGTGTGTGTCAGAGGGAGTGTGGTTGACGGTGATGGGCAGTGTGTGCTATGAGTAATGCCTTGTCTCTTCAGGCTGTGCTGTGGTCTCTCTGGCCTGCTGCCAGCATTTCCACCGTCTGTACAACCTGCACAGACCTGGCCTGACTTTTGCTGAGCCTGCTGCCTTATAGAACTTGGCTGGGTCAGACCAAGCTGGCTACAGGCTCGGATGTGAGGGATTAGCATTTATTGACTGTAATTAGCACTCTTTCTGTCTCTCACGAAAAAACCCAACTCTGGACAGTGTTACAGTTTAAAGCTTAATCACGACAAATCGATACTGTACTCCACCAAATGGATGATTGCAGAAAAAGGAACACTTCCAGTGGTGTGTCACTTGATTTGCTTCAACACTGATATGGAAATTAGGCACTGATTCTGACTGAACGAGGTACACTTGTTATTTTCAAAACCCTCACTTTGCCTTCCAGTTTTTTCTTAATGGGAATATGAAACAAAGCAAACACAGCACAAAGGAATGCAGCTAAGCTAATCAAACTCGTTCCAAGTTTCTGATTGTGTTTACGATCATGATTTTCAATGCAACGTATCTGTAGGTTTTGTGTGATTTGTCTACCTGTGGGAGTGTGTGCGTCCACCAGGCTTGACTGCCGTCTCTCCAGGGGCATGGGTGGGATATTCAAGCTGATGTTAGTCAGAGTGCTGACAGCAACACTCCCTCGTCTTGACTCTGCCAGGGCTCGAGCCTGCAGAGTGGGGTAGTTCTTAGGCCCTGGAGCAGCAAAAGGTACAGAGTTCCTCTTCATGGCCCTGGAGACGGGAGCCGGGGCCAGGGAGAATGGACCTGGGATCGGGGGGGTACAGCGAAGACTTTCTGTGTGAATCACAGTGTGGACTGAAGACGAATCAGCGGCTCCAGCAGCAAGGTTGGCCAAAGTAGCCAGGTTTGTATCTGAGGTGGCTGCTGTCACTGAAAGTGGTGGAGATAAAGCAAGATGCCCAGCACCGGTGGTTGATACGAGGGCCCCTCTGTTGTTGTTATGAGCACCTGCCTCCACATCCCGGCCCTCAAGACACCTGAAGCTCCCTCCTCTCCTCACACTGCCATTCCCCAGGTTGTAGTGGTGGTGGTGGTGATGGTGATGGTGTGCCATGTGATGAATTGACACAGATCCCTGCCTGGAGGGCTTTCTCCTCCTTCTCTGGCTGTGGCTACGTTGGGGCTCTGTGGGTGGGGGTGAGGCGGCAATATTAAGCCCTGCACGGCGAGCCAAGAGCCTGCAGACGTGGGCCACTTGCCTGGCTCCCTTGCGGACGATATGAGCCAGGTACTTGAGCAGCTCGTCGTAGCAGGAGCCCGGCTCAGAGAGGGAGGCCAGGGTGCTGGCGTTGGACATGAATCGCACCCGCTGCTCCTTCATCAGCTGACTCTCCCTCTGCTTGGTCTCTGAGAACTGAGTAGCGATGACCACCAGGCACAAGTTGATCATGAAGAATGAGCCGATCTAAGGACAAGGAGGGGTGGATGACATTGTTATTCACACACTTCCAACAGATGCTCACACAAGCGTCCCCTCGACTGATCCACTTCTTCAATCATCAGCAGACACACACACACACACACACACACACACACAGCTAGTGGCACCATGAAGTGGCACTTACAATGATGAGTAGGATGAAGTAGATGAAGTTGTAGAAGGAGTGAGCATCCATCACAAAGTACATGATGTCCACCCAGCCCTCCAGAGTGATCACCTAAAGACGAACACAAGCAGAGGAGAGGAATATACAGAGACTTAGAAAAAATAAAAAGATCAGACGACTCATAAAGAAACCATAGAGAAGAGAAATACAAAAGGGACTAAAATAGACCATATTTCACAGTCTAGAGTGTTCCAAATACCAACACTCAGCAGAGGACTAATCCCCAACATTTCTCTTGTGTGCTTTACCCAACGCAAGCACACTGGAGCAGTGGCCAGACTTTTGGGGGAACTCATCTCCAATCTGGCTTTAGTCCTCCAAAATTACCCCCCTCAGCTATACAGTGATGAATAACCACTCCAGCAAAAAGGCTTTTCAGATGACGCGGATATAGCAAACAAATGGTGTGGAAAAATTAAGCTACAGTCTGGTGGTGTGGCTGTGGCGACTTGCTAATCCAGTAAGCCCTATTTCTATGATACAGCAGCCCCAATTAGGCTCCATTTCTCCCTCTTCGTCTCCATCTTGTATTACACGCTTGCATGTCAGCCAAACCCCACTGTATGTGCCTCAATGCAAAATTTTAGGTCTCACAAACAGTTTTGGTATGGGTCTTCATCCATGCCTTGCGGGTGTGAACAGCTGTTTTACCTGAAAGATGGCGATCCAGGCATAGCAGATGTTGTCAAAGTTAATGGCTCCCTTGAAGGGGTTGACCGGACCAGCAGAGCAATTGGTGTAGTACTGGTTCCAGTTGACACAGGTGGTGTTGTCAGTGCTGTTGTAAGAATACATGTCCAGGTTGCACTGAATTCCTCCTTCTTCATACAGCTTTGGCACCGAGTCACAGTCTCTCATGCCGTTCTCTCGGTCCAGAGAGCAGATGAAGGGGTTCTCGTCATCGTTTTCAGTGTGGTAGTATTTATCTCTCTCCACAGAGAAAGGGCTATGGAGAAAAAAAAAAGAGAAGACACGGCAGAGGTTAGCCAACTGAATTACCCTGGTCTCAATCACCACACCACATCAGACTAGACCCCAGGTGTAGGGTGTAAGAAACTACCTAACTAACTCATTATTTTGAGATTCTAAGTAATTATTTAGAGAAAGTTTCTCATTACAATGACTTAATGGCTTCCATAATAATGTCATGACAGGTCAAGAAAAAAGTGTCTCATACCAGTTGGGTTGCTAACTAGTGCCTATTGGTAAGGCCATTGGAACCAGATATACTGAACAGGGATGGTGGTTTGACAACTGAGTGGGCCATGGCATTCACACAAAGTTATCATTCAAGCCAGTGGGGCCAGCCACTGTAGTTTTACCTAAGCAGATACAGTAGAGGTATAAGGCTGGGACAAGACACTGGATATTTGCTCTTTGTTTGGATGAGAGCACAAGTTAAAGGCAGGTAAATTAGGTCAGGGCTGGAGAGTAGTGTCACTTGTCATGGGGCCCAGTAGATTTATAAAAGGAGAGCCTGACACCGACTGCAAGGCCATGTGGCAGGTCAAAACATTATTTAATATGAACACTGGGCTTCCATAGGAACACTTACCCAACCTTTGGCACATTTAACTGTGCATTGATAACTATATGTAGGCAAGTAGAGAAGATTACACAACTATATATTTTTAAAATATTAGCTAACATTAGCCACTATAAGCTATTGGTCACACCAGGCTAAGAAATGTGGTCTGGAATGAGGAGATAATAAAATGACCTGATTGCTAACAATAATGACAGAGAATTAGTGTACATTTCATACAAACAATGTTGAAATACAAGAAGCTACATGTTGTGAAACCACAAGACATCTGGGCACAAGGTTAAGGAAGCATAAAAGCTAAAAAAAACATTTGTTCTTCACCTGGGTTTTTCCTGAGACAATTTACAAGAGACAGTGACATATCTCTCCTCAGGGAATCATCTTTGTCCCTCTGCCATCACTGCATTACAACCTGCTTTTGCTGCCAGGTCGAGGCAGTTAAAATGGCTGGATGTTTTTATATTACACAAAGATTTTGGCATTCACAGGGTGTCATTTTAAGTGGATCAACTGCAGCCCCAAAGTCTACAGGTTTTAATTCCATGCAAATCCTACAGCAGCTGATTTCACTGATTAACGCTCCTTCCAACAGATAGGAGGAACTAATCAGTGAAGCCAGCTGTAACTGTGTTGACAAACCTGGGGCTAAATGGCTGGGGAGACCCCTGTGTGCATTGTGTTTGTCTGCCTGCCACACCACCTCTTAGCATATCTGTTCCGGAGCACTCTGTCTGGACTAACTGGTATGTGTGTCTGGTTAATGTGTGATATCTGGCCTATCCGTAAACACACATTCAGATGGCGGCTTTTATTAATTGCATAGTATCCTCAAATACTCTGAGTGACCAGACTAGTCCCACATCAGGACCACCTCACACTCATTTATTTATACATCCTTAAAGGCTGTTTCACACCGAAGGATGATCTACAGGAGCATTTATTGGTCTGATGAGCTCAGTAAGAAACACATTTGATTTATCACACCCTTAAATGACGCACGGGATGTGGCTCCTACCGAGTGCTCTCACATATTCTCAGTCAGCCTAATAAAGAGTCACTGTCAACCATGTTAACAGCTGTTACTTTGGTAAAGCATGAAAATATGTATTAGCGATATGATTACAAGAGAAATTGTAGCAGCCGTAAAAACAGATATGTTTATGACTCTGAACATAGAGCCAGGCTTATATGCCATTCGTCTGATGTTGAGACCTTCCAGAAACAAGAGGAAAAATTGATGATGATGACAAAAAAATGTGCCAGCTCACCGGAGCCATTATGCATGAACTTAAATTACAGCTGGGAGATGTCATAAATCCTATAGAGAGTAATGAAGCCAGGTTGATGCAGGGAGCATGAATAAGCCATGGGTGCCCATGTCCCACATACCATGGGGTCTTTCTCATCATTTCAGGGCTTGTCGCTCTCCCATTAATCATGATGATGAGACTCTATAATCACTAACCTCACTGACTTCATGACCCAGTTCAGCGTGCAGGGTCAAGGTTTACTCCACAGTTTTACCTTGGTCCCCTGTAGACCTATTTGTAATCTCACCTGCGTTGTTTATCTCAGCTCTATTACTATATTAAATTAATCCAGTCACCGTGTGCATCTTTGGTTTGGTAACAATTTTATCAATATGGGTCCTTGAAGGCCAATAGCAGCCTAAATATTTTTTAAACAGGGAATATATGCACATTTTGTGCATAGCAATTTTGTTTGATGTACTGTGTCTATTTCAGTATCTTCCTTTGACCATTTTAAAGGATAATTTTGGTTAATTAAAGCTTTGATCTTCTTTTGGCAAGTTTGGTCATCATTTCTAATGGTTATAATGAATTATACACACAGAGCTAATAGGGAAATCTGTAGACATAATAGCAGAACAAAAGAGAACATTGCTGAAGCCTCTCTGAATACATAAAAGTTTGGTACCCAGTTTTGTCACCTCATTAACAATACTCAGTTTGGTTGCCACAAACATGGCTGGAAATATCCCTATGTCTTTTGAAACACTTCTGGATTTGTTTAACATTAAACGTTATAGTTTAATGGCACCTGGCAGCATCAGGGGGTAACGTGGTGGAACAAGAACGAAGGTTAAGGCGGCAAATATCCAAGTGGGGCGGGTGGGAGGGGTGGTGTTTGGGTCCAACAAACACTGACTTTGACCCGAGAGAGCGGTGTTCGCATTTCGTAAGATTCTTGAGCCAAACTCTGTTCTTTTTTCCTAAAGCTAGCCATGTGTGTTCGTTGTTAAAGGAAAATAACGTCAGTTTGCGGTGTTGTACTGACGTAGCGCAATTATTTTGAAAGACACTGTATGGAAACGTTAAATTTCCTGTGAAAACAGAAGTGTATCTTGAAAGGAGAAAATGCATGTAACAGGCAGAACTTGATACGGTGTCCCAGAACATCAACAACCAACACACCCAGGGTACCTTGCACGTCCACGACCAAGCACGTCAATATGTGACAAGGACGGAGTGAGAATGTGTTGTTAAAAATGACCAGGTTTTGTTGGTCTCTAACAGTTGTCCACTTGCCTAGGTGTCAGGCCATTCACCCCCCCACCCCATGAATAACTTGGCTGATATACATGTAATCTGAGGTGTATCACTTTAGAAATGGTGACATGATGAAATGTATAAATGTAACATATCCATGGTTTCAAGACACATACACTGCCAACATATCATTATAGCAACTGGGATAAACAGAAAGCTTCTAGCAAGTGCAGTTTTCAAATAAATGTATTGTGCAGATGTGGTACAACAAATTGTCTCAAGTACAAATATCTCAAAATTACAGTTAATTACAGTAATTTGTTACTCAATATGGATTCAGCAGTTAACATTAAACTGAGCAGATGTGAGTAGTGAAATCTCAGTAGGAAAAATTCTACACATACTGGCACAAGTACACAGATAAAATATTGATTGGTAAAGGTGGAACTCACAAGGAGAAGTTGTCTTCCACGAAGCAGCGGTTTCTGAGCAAGCCGGCCCACAGCTGGACGCCCACGATGCCAAATATGAAGAAGACAAAGAAGCACAGCAGCAGCACGTTACCCAGCATGGGCAGGGTGTCCAGCAGTAGGGTCACCAGGATGCGCATACCTGAGAGAGGAGACAAGGACACTGTCAAACAGCCGGGCAGCACATAATTGTTTATTGATACACATGCAGCAGATATGAACTTGAGCAGGTTAGGTGTATGTTACTGTCAGAATGGAAAATCAAACCTCTTTTACTACAAGTGGCAGTGCAACACATTTTTCAGAGCTAAGTGCTGGGTATTTTATTAAATAGAATGGCCGGTATGAGTACCAGTCATCTCACTTTACAACCATTCACGCTTGCACTGGCCTATTATGACACACTTCATGTGTACTTCAAGTGCACAATTCAGTTTCTTTATTCATTTCATCAATCACGTCATCATTTCATTATACACTTGCAAGCTGATGCTGTAACACTTTTTACAGTTGATTGAAAATCAAATAATAATGATGCATTGTAAAAATAACAGCCTACTGCACACTGGTCTGGTGAATTTAGCCTCCCGGTGTTTTATATTAGTTAAACAGCTTAATGAGTAACTATCAAAACAGGGTCATTCATTATAACTGATGAAGAGCAGTGCTTTGGGTTAGTCGTAAACAATATGGGGTCTGGCTCTTGACAAACAGAAGTGATTCACCATATTAATTTGTCAGGAGGACGTTTTGCCAGCGGGAAGGTTTTAAAAAAATAAAGATTCACAAAATCCTATGAATAAAGGAGAGGCGCTGAATTCATAAAGGGGCTGTCTGTATTCCAGTCTTGCTCGAATGGCATATGCAGATTAGTGTATGCCACTAAGTTGAATGTGTAGTTGTTTGCCTACTCGTATGTGTCTGCTGTTCGGCTCATAAAAACAGTATGTCACTCCTCTTCCACTGCCACATCCCCCTCCCCACTGACATGTAATGATTCTCACTGACATATGCTGCTACTGCAGTGAAGGTGTAAGTAATATAAATCTGTTCCACTCGCATATACCATTCTTTTAAACATTAAATAAATAATTACACTAATAAATGAAAATGACATCATGCCTTCTGACATAAACAACTAGCTTGCTTTTTAAGAGTACCACAATGATTTAACACTGCACTTCATAACACGTCCAGACAGATGATGGTGAGAGGATCAAAACTGATGCAGCAGAACAAGAGATATCATTTTTTTTTATTCACAGCATTCTTCTTCCTCATCAAAATCTGGCACCTACGTTACCCACAATGCAACTATACCACCGTCAGTTTTGCCAGAGATTTGGAGGTATTATGCTAGTAGCTGCTAATGTAGCCTCTAGCCTCAAGAAGAGAGGAGGGTAATATCCAATGTTATCTCAAGTTACAGTTTGAGGCAATAGAGTTGTGCAGGAGTGAATCCTAAAACCCGCGAATTAGTCAGCGTTAGTTCCCTCATCTTGAAATCACTGGGTTTCTTTGAATGTGTTTGGCTAGATGTCTGAAGGTCTGTGGTTAACACAAGCTTAAGAGACTTTCCAATTTGTTCTACAACATAAAATATGTCAGTAAATACCCTATTCACACATCAGCTTTACCTGTCAGTAAGGGGTTGCTACAGTATCAAGTAGCTAAATGAGACTATAGAGGTTTTCAGGGACATTAAACTTTAACCAACTACATCTGGCAAATGCATTTACACTTCGAAAATCATAAAAGTGGTGTTCATTTGTGATGATTAGCCTGCTGAGCAAAACCTGTATCATAATTTTTTGTTGGTCACAGAGCTTATTTTCTGCAACAATCCAAAATCCTATTAAAAAACCCCTACGGTTTTTGTCAAGGGAACCAGGGCAGCACCAACTTCTGGGTTGATCTACAAAAATGCATCCATGCAGCAAGGTGTTTATCAGATTTCACAGAGCTACCTTTAAAGCACCAAAAGGCTCATGCTTGTTGTTAGCCATTTGGCTATCACCGCTAGCTTTACTAGCAAGAAAGCAGAAATGTAAAGTGTTCATTCCATCAGGGACATTATGGTTACAATCAATCAATCTGGATCAATGTATCGATTCAATGATCAATGATCCAGTATCATCGACCAATCTATATCATCATCCGCAGGTTACACCTTATTTTGAAATTCTGTGACACCATCAAACAGCAGCAGGTAGATGGCAAACAGTCACGATACAGACGATGAGGATAATGTTATTTACTCGGGAATAAATCAGCAGTGTGGAATGATTTTCAACGTCAGAGACAATATGAGTCAACATACACATGCCGTAAGTAAACAATGCCAACATGGCGCATGTTGCCTTGCCGGGGGCCACACTCCGCTAACTTCTTGCAGCAACAAAGCAACGTTAGCTGCTCTGTTTCAACAATGCTAGGCTGAAAAATCATGCAAGCAGGCTGAAACTCGAGCCATGTGGTGACTTAAACCAACAGTAACTGCGAAAAAGTTAAATAGCATGTATCTTTTAAAGCTATTTGTTGAGCAAAATTCTGTTAGTTGCTAGGCTAATTTAGTCAACTTGCATAACATACTTTTCTTAAGTCACATATGTATACCTAATGTATGTCAAGTATGTAGCGTAAGCTAACTTGCATTCATTACTTAATTTAGTTAACAGACACACTTATTTTGGGGTCATCCCTATGTTTCCCGGCTTCTATGTTTCCCGGGTTCTATGTTCCCCACTTAACCCTGCAAAAAAAAGGTTCTATGTATGTTCCCCGCTAACACAAAAAGGGTCCTATGTTTCCCGCTTGGTTGAGCGGGGAACATAGAACTGGGGAAACATAGAACCTTTTTTGTGTTAGCGGGGAACATAGAACCTTGCTGTCTGAGTTTGAATATTTGTAACTGTAAAAAATATTAAACATGCCATTGTAGAAAACAAAGTGTGCTCAGCAGCATCCTTCCTTGAATGAATAAAGTATAAAAATACATTTGGATAAGACACAAGAGTCCTGAGTCCAACGGAAGAACAGGGATTTGTTAGCAGTCTGTGAGAGTGTCAGCAGTACACCTACAACTTGCTCTGAATTAACGCCACACTAAAAGACCTGCTTTTTTCCGCCTTTCATACAGTACATCCCTGATTCTGTCAGCTCTGGACAGTGTTCCCTCAAGTTTCTGACAACACGCACACTTCCTGCCGCCCACACACTCCCTCTGCTAAATCTGGCTGTGTCCCTCTGCTGTTGCAGCTCAGATTTTGCTCTTATTTTCATGCACTGATTTTCCTCATTCTCATCTATGTATGTACATATCTATGTATGTATGTATGTATGTATGTATGTATGTATCTATCTATCTATCTATCTATCTATCTATCTATTATCCTTCCATCTATCCATCCATAGCTACTGTATAATCTCTGTGTCTCTGTCCTTGTCTTTCTTTCTGTGTGCCCATGTCTCTGTCTCTCCCCATCCCTGCAGGCTACCCTCCCAGTAGTAACCCTGTGAGTCAGGCGTCAATAATGAGGATCATTTTCCTGATCAGGGGTTTTCTGGGTAATTGGAGAGGCCGGGACAGTCCCTGTCGGAGCACCGGCAGAGCTCGTCTGCTGGGCTGACAGCCACCAAGGAACACAGGAGACGGGGGAAGCACACTGAGCTGGAGGACGGAGCAAGAGAGAGGGAGAGAAAGGAGAGGAAAGACTTTCCAATCGGACACCCTCAGGTAAACTCAAAAATGTAAATGTTAGCATGCTTGTTGCTTTAAATGAAACACGTGTATTTACTGAACATGTTTTAAAAAATACAATTCTGCCCACGCTCTAACACCTTTCAACGATATCGTTCCATCTGGGAGCGGCACACCAAACTGCATGAAGAACTTTTCATATTTGTAGAAGATTTTTTTTTTTTTTTCATGTGGATACATACTGAGACAGAGAGTTTCTGGTGTTGACAGATGGATGGAAAACAAGGAGGATCTCGCAGATTTGCTAGGATATGGAGAACAAATGAGGAGGAGACAGCCAGGAGACGCAGGGAGGAGATAAATGGAGGAGTGGAGCAAAGATAGCCTACTATTGAAGGACAGGAGAATGAGTGGCAGTGAGCAGCATCTGCGGGATAACATGAATGTTTGGATGGTATCTTCCACCGCATCCTCCTCTCAGTGGCAAAGATGTGTGAAACCCAGCTGGGGCAAAAGTGACAGCAGTGAAAACACACAAACTCTTGAATGGCAAGACTCTTGAAAAACACTGTTTCCAAGATATTTCAATTTAACAATGGCTGCCACATTATGCCGTTGATGCAATATTCAATTACCAGCATAACAGAATATACAAGCACATTGTGAGATGAGAGTCATAAAGAAAATATCTCATAATGGCATATCTCTCTCAAAAAATTAAACTGTGAGTCATTGCCTGAGGCCATTTGTTGCCACTTGCTCTTTGGTAGGACATCCGTTCAACATAATTGCCCTGAACTCACGAAGAAAGTGTATTCTGATACACTCTGACAGACCTGACTCGCTGCCTACAACAGCAAATTCATCTCTTTTGTTCTCTCTCTGGTCATTATTGAGCAGTGCAGGCACACACACACACACACACACACACATCCCAAACACATACACAAGAGCACACATTCAGCTCATTCAAGTGATTGCTCTCATAGTGTAATGTGCTGAGCTGTTAGGATGCTGCTTAGCTGTGCCTGAGTTAGGACCAGCAGCTGGGATTAGTGTCCACAGCAGGCCTGAGGCACACTAACTGGTTTTATGCGCTGCGATCCAGAGTGGATATGCATCTGTACAATGAGAGTTTAATACTTAAACTGCTCCGTGTTGGTTTCCACTCGCCTGACAGCTGCAGCCATGGAGAACAACATAGATCATTTGCCACATTTATCATACAAAAGGAGCTACATTTGACAATCCTCTGAATCTTGATGTGAAATATATCAGTGTCACAAATGATCTCAGAAGTGACAGAATTAATTGTTTCAACTCAAGTTGTCTGAAATTTTTGTGAGAATATATAGAACTTAATAGCTCCTATTTCTGTTTTCCGTCTAGAGCCATATTACACTAATTATCTGGATGTACTGGGAAATATATATACTGCAAAA